GTTCACAATTAGCAACGATGATGGGTATTGTTAAAATTATTCTATATACAAGCTTGGTCGGAAAGCGGGTGCGATCGCACTCGATATTTGACCACGGAAATTATATTTAGTTGCGAAAAACCGGCCAGATTTTTTAGGCGTTTTGAGAACATTTCAAAAACAAGCAAAAAAGCGCAATAAGATAAACTGGACCAATGAGAGACAGTTAAAAAAAAGAAAAATAGCTTTTAACGCGTTAAAACTTTAAGCAAAATAAATACGATTAGAGCAAATATTTTTGAAACATCGCTCTTTTATAATTTTTTTTTTAAAAAAAAGCCACATTTTTTGTATATAGTAACAACGTACTAATAATGATTGTTTAATAAAGAAACAAATGTTCTTCAATTTATCAAAGATTATATATAATTTTTATTTATATACTTATGTCTTATTTCCAGTGCTGGAAAAAAGAGGTGGGGGGGGGGGGAAGAAGAGCTATAGTCCCGGGACACACAATGTTATGGTCCGAGAAATAGTCAAGAGGACCTATCGGTTATTTTAAGTCATTTTTACGCTGTCACACATAAAAAAGGCTACCAAAATAATACAGCCCCCGGCCCTGTAAAGTCCAACAAGATTAAACCAATAAAACTAACGCTACATAATTTAATTATAAATAAAAAAAGCTTTTTTAGTACCTGTTTTATGTGATCGCGTAGTTTGAAAAGTTTAACATATTTGAAACAATTCTTCTTAGTAAGATGAACAAATGAAATAACTAAATCATTGAGTTACTGTGGAAATTTAATTAGCTAGATAGAAATTAACTAAAAACGTTAAATTACTTTGTAAGGAGGAAGCGGAACTGCTTAACAATATCGCTGATGATGTTTAGTGAGTGGGCTTTATATCTTTAACTAGTATTTTACAGAAAAAAGTAACTTAAAGTGTAAGTATAACGAGTTTGTAAGAATGGCTGAAGCAAAAATAATTGAAGTTAATAAACCAATTTCTAATACATTATATACATATAAATACATCCCTTACATATAAAAAATAAGATTATACTAATTAAATCTATAATATATTTACAAAACGTTGACAAGTTAAAAAATATAAATTTAAAACATTTATTTTTGTAAACAAATGTTAGTTTAAAACATTTATAGCTTTGTAGGTGACTCCGAGAATGAGCCATTGTACTAAAATAAATGTTCGTTTGATAGTATATTCTTACAACAATTGATGCTAGAAATCTCAACGAAAACATAACAAAACTCAAATTATACGATTTTGAAAAATAATTCAACAGAATACTCTAGAATATTCGCTTAAATTCTTTAGTAATTTCAGTTATTTATTAATGGAACCAATAGAATTAGTTGTTCGTAAATTTGGCGGGTTTTTTGTGTTCGCGAACATTCTTTATTTATTTTTCTGCACTAAGATGTTTGACAACATTCAAGTTTATATAAGTTTCCATGTATATCCGTAAAACGATTGAATGACGAGTAACAGGAGAATGAATTTTAGTAGATGACACAAGAGGCGCTAGTTCTTTAGAGCAGCACCCATTACAGTATTAATCGAAAAGAGAAAGGGAAGCAACATTAGGATGATTTGACAATGGTTGAAGGTTGGCTGCAAGAGTAGGTCCAACTATGTTTACAATGTATTTTGCACCTTGTCTTAAAGAGAAAGGGTATCATTCGAAGATCTGCTCCAGATATGGAAACAGTATTCCATACAAGTACGGATTTGAGATTTATAGAGATAAAGAATAGAATCCAAGTAAGAAAGTGGCAAGAATGATAAAGAGGTGCAACCTTAGCAAATGTTAATTTTGCAATTGATTTTTATATGGTTTCAAAGAAAAATAGGAAGTAAGATTTAATCCTAGAAGTGGAAAGGTAGATGACTCATCAAGTACATTACCGTTCATAAATATCAGCGAACAATGGCACTTTAGATGTGAGAATTTCTAGAAGATTGTTAATATAAATTAAAAAAAAGTATGGGGCCAAGGATAGAACCTTGAGGAACCCCTGAAATTACAAGAAATGAAGAAGAGTGCTGTCCATCGAGGACAACTTTTATATTACGATTGGTAAGTAAAGAATCAATAATCTTAATTTTGTTACCTGATACACTGTAATTAAAGAGCTTATGGAAAAGACCAGCATCCCAAACCTTATTAAAAGCTTTAAAAATGTCAAGAGTAATAGCATTAACCTCTCCACATCTATCTAATGCGCGATAAGATGGGAGATTCAAGATGAGAGATTAAGTGTTTGTTAATTAAAGATATAAATTGTTTATGATAGTAAGAAAACTAATAGGACGGTAGTTAAATAAGTCAGATTTTTTGAAAATAAATCCAATAATAATTAATCCCAATTTTTGCAAATGGAGATAACAGATGTCGCTGGAAAACAAGATTTTGATAAGAACTTGTTGAATAGTTTTGAAAATATAGACGATAGATCCGGAGAACATTTCTGCAAGATTATTACAGGTATGTTGTCCGGACCACAATCTTTAGAAGAATCTAAGCAGGAAATCACTTTAGATACAGAAGCTGGAGTAATAGGAAAAAGGAAAACCATGGAGAAGAGTGAGATTTGACTTAAAATTGTCTGAAGGGAATAAAAGATTCCATCCCAGCCTGAATCCAAGATGTTACATAAGAAGCACAATAGTCTACAGAAAGACAAAAGATTTCTACCCATGGGCCATCATATAGAAAATCACGGAAATAATCCCAATCAGGTTTAAGGTAGTTGTAAGAGGTACAATGATAGAGGGATTCTAATGATGAAAAAAAAAAGAGATAATAGTTTTAGAGAGATCAAACCGTGATCAGAATTGTTTTATCAGATTTGTACAAATAAATTCAATATATCTTCTAAGTGTTTGACCAGATTTATACAATTAAATTTCACCTCATCAACATCATCTTTGAAGTGATTTGCACAAAAAAACAACTCGCACAATTAGTATCTAATTCATTTGTATTTGTAGTTTTTAGTTTTTTTATTATCAAAAAGAAAATCAAAAACTTAATTTAAAGAATTTTACAATTCAAATAGTTCATGTTATAAACTTTTAATATATCAATTAATTTATTAAAGTATATTGTTAAAATTTAATGTGAGCAGTTTGAGTTATATATTTACACTAATTATCAGTTTCAAAAACAAGCATCACTTTTATCACATAGTAATCATGTTGTTATCACTTTACATCATATATATCAATATCACAGCATTCAATTGATTCAATTTCTTTCTTGTTGGTTCAATTTCATTTGATATATCATTTACAGCATCTTATTTCTCATTTACTTTATTTTATGGTCTGTATAATAACAATAGTCTACTGATCTCTTGAGATTACATACCCTTACCAAAATGGGTATGTAATCTCTTGAGATTACATACCCATTTTAGTAAGTGTAAACTTCTGGTGATTTTTCAAGACAATCTTTATTTCTACTTATTAATATTTTAGTATCACAAGAAGGCCGCTGTGTTATTATATTCAACTGTGCTATTATATTTATTTCTGCAGGTGATTCTTGTGCTTCTTTTATAACCTGTCTAAAATTGTTTTTGAAATCATCAAGCGATAATAGCATAGCCATTAAATGTTGTAACGCAATACTAATTATCATATTTTTTTACTAAAGCAACTCTCGAAACATATGGCAAGATAATTTTGTTTTGAATTGTTACAAAAAAATATGATGTAACTCTTTTTTCTGTTTCATTTATTGATTTTAAATGCATTTTCAGTTCTGGAACAAAATCAGAAAATAATTTAATAACTCCAAAAAATTACTGTTATTCAGTTCAAAGACTATTTTTTGTTGTCTCTAAAGGTTAAAAGCTCTTAAGAACAATATTGCTTTTATTTGCCATGTGTTTAACACATTTTCATTGAGATGGTCTATTCCTGTTCTGTGTTTAAATCTTTGTTTATATGCTGATTCCAGATGTTTTTTAAAGATTCATTTTCAGATAACTGTGTTCCTGTATATACATTTCAGAAAATCACTTGAAATTAAGCTAATTTTTATCAATAAATTCAAATGACAACAGCAATATTTTTTCACTATTTTTCATTTGCCAGTAAGAACACTGGTAAAATCACTAAAACATCTTCTTTGAGGATTCCTTTTATAATGGTTACCTTAAATACTTCTTGGTGACAACTCTACCAAAAACATCCGTTGTTCAATGTCGATTTCAACAGGTCAAATAGCAGGATCTAATTTATCATATTGGAATTTTGCTAAAGTACTGCTCTAAATTTGTATATTTTTACTAATTTCTGAAGCATTTAGATATAAAATCTTTAACATTTACAATATTAGATCCTAATTCATCATCCAAATTCTTGTTCAGGTTATCGATGTTTTAAAGTTGTAACTTGAAATTGATGAATTTTCACCTTGTTTAAAAATTTTATTTAATGATCTAGCAAGGCTTTTTTTTTTTTTTTTTTTTTTTTTGCTTTTTCGATGTGTTTTGCTTTCATAGCATCTTTTCAACATTTGAGGTATTTAAATGTTGAATGCAAATGTAATTAAACAACAATTGAGTTTTAAAATGATTGAAAACTAACAATTTGAAGCAATTAGACAACAGAATTATAAGATATGTTGTTTCCATTGAAGATAGTGCTACGTTCTAATTTTGTATTGTTGATGTTACATGTTGGTGAAACATTAGAAAATAGTCCTCAAACTCATAATAAAATAAGTTTGTAATCAAAAAGTAACTTAGTAATAATAATAGTTTCCTAAAATTTTGGTTTATAGTACAAGTTTCTTATAAACAGGTTTCTTATAAAATAATTTTTTTTTTTAATATTTGAGACCTTGTAAAAATAGGGGGGCTGGTGCGATTGCACTTGTTGCACTTGCAATAGTATAGCTCTCATATATATAAACACTTATTCCATTAATACTAGTAAAAATTAAGTATTTTCATAAGACTAGTAAAATATTTAATTACCCTTCCATCCTCAAGTTCTATTTCTAATTTTCCATTACATATATCATTCTGCAAAAAACCACCAATCCATACTTCATCGATATCAGGAATCCATATTCTTGTTCCCTATAATAATTAAATAATAAAATCAAATATAGAAAATAACTTTGCTCTTATAAATCAATCAATATATTTCTGAAATAAGTTTTACAAGGTTAAATAACCACTAAATGATTATTTTTCATTGAATTTAAACATCCGTGGTTCCATACTTGTGCAGTTTGGACAGGTTTGCAGATCAAAACCATTTTTATTATGATACTACCACTATGATTATAAGGTCATCTTACTTTTAAAGGTTTACAAGCTCCTCCTATCCTTACCCTAAGCAAAATTTGGGGCTTTATTTTAGAGATTTCATACTAGTATGAAGTTGGATTTATAAAAACTAAGAAACCCCTGCCCCTATAATATAAACCATAATAATGCCAATAATAATAGCAGTAGTAATAAAGAAAATAAGAAAAATAATAATAATGTAAATAACAACAACAATATCAATAAATCAATAATTTACAATAGTAATAAGAAAAACATGAAGAACATATAAAATATAACAGATAATATTAAAAATACTAATTTACACACTTTAACCTTTTTATTGGTTTTACTTGGTTATTCAATGTTTTTCTTATTCTTTTCTTTATTTTTCTTTTTACCTAATTTACTCTATTTTTCCTTTTTATAGTCAAACAATTGTTTTTGTTACTTGCAATAGTTTTCTGAAATTTTGAAATGCTTTTAAAGATCTATAGAATTTTCATAAGATCATATTATGAAACATAAACATCATGTATCATATACACATTACATAACATCAATGATGATGATGATGATGATGATGATGATGATGATGATGATGATGATGATGATGATGATGATGATGATGATGATGATGATGATGATTTAAAAAATATATACTGTTTATTTTATCCTTTTACTGTATTCACCTAAGCATCTCTTAGGTGAATACAGTAAATTGTTAATGCAATTGTGAAACCCTAAAATATAACTGAGAAATTTTAAAGGATTATTTTAAAGGACTGAATAAAGTAAATTTTTTTATATATATAAAACATTGGCAATAAAACATTTTTTTAATAAAACATTGGCTTTTCATGTCTTTTTTATTCAATTATCTCTTGATTTGATTATCTTGATTTGTTATAAATTGCATTAAACAAATATTGCATTTTGCTATATTTTTTTTGTTAATATTTTTTTTCTTTTGCTAAACAACCATCAAATAAAACATATTTATCAAAGTATTTCATAAAAAGCAAGAAACATTCCAATTCCTTATAAGACTATCTGAAAAAGTTGTCTATGACATAAGACCACTTTTGAGTGGGTAAAGATAACAGGAACTTTCACACTTCCGATGTTTTATTCTTAGTAATTTTGTCACAATATAAACAATTTAAATGTATAGCCATATTTTTATATTTCAATTAAGTATATTAATAAATTGAAATACTTACAACTGCAAGTATTTCAATTCATTTCATTTAATAAATTTATTCAAATAGTAAAAACATCATAAAATATAAGGGTACCTTCACATATAAAGAGTGATCACTCATTTCTAATGATTTCAGCTAAATGCTCATTATCTTTCATAACTATAACTCATATGAAGAGTAAGTATATGGATACCTATATAAAATATAAGAAAGTTAATGAAAACAAACTATTTTTAAATATAGACAGAAAAGTTGACTTTTTAATATTGACAGAAATGTATGCACCTATTTTTAAGCCATTATTATTGATTATTCATTAATGTAGGCAGAATAAAATAAAGTCAAGTGTATTTATATTAACAAAAATAAAAATTATAATTTCATAACAAAAATAAATATTTAGGATTAATAGAACAAATAGTATGGGATCCGAAATACGATATTTATGAAGTTTTCACGTTATATCGTAGTAGCGACAATAAAAATAACTTTATTTTGAAGGTTTTAATAAACGTTTCTATTTTCCGAGTTCAATTGCTTGCTTTTTTTATAAATGACTTATTTTTATTTACTCTAGATTTACGAGTAATTTAATTTACAATAAAATTAAATTTAGTTTCGTTCCCGCTTTAAAGGATAAAAAATTATTCTTATAATAGTTACTAAAAATTAGTTGGATTATCCGAGATAAAAACTAACAAATCCCACGTCCACACTTGAAAAAACTCTGCTAAACATTTGTAATCTTTTATTAGTTATTTTTTAAGAATGAATAGGAAAACTTCTACACATTTAATTTAACCCTGATACCAAATTATTTAAAAATAATGCAGTTGATAAGACGCAAATAATAAAAATTGGTCCACTTCAATATTAACAATAAAACTGCTTTAACATAAGATCATAAGCCTAAGAGTAAATGCAACCACAAGTATGTCGAATAGTTACAAAACTTAGATAATTTGATCATTATCTTTTCGCTATAATCAAATTCAAATAGTTTTAAGCAGTTCAGAGGTATGGTATCACAAAAGCCTAAATTTAAAAAAAAAAACACAGTTTTGAATAAGTTTTCCATGCATAAGGAAATATTATTAAAGAAAAATGTTATCAATTCAGTTAAAATAAATAATACAAAAGGAAATTTCATTATCAAAAGTGGACTTAACTCAAACCACGCATTTTTGAAGTAATTTCCCTGTGATTCTAGTCCCCAGAACTTAACTATACAATGTACTTCATTAATCTCAATATTAATGCAGTAGGTGTGTGGTTAAGCGCTAGATTAGAAAACAAAAAAATCTGAGTTTGATCCCCGCCACATTTGCTATGGTACCGCGCACAACTTTTTAGTGGAGCTTTGTTTGCGCTTGTTTGTCAAGCCTTGATAAACAACAAACGCCTTGACTCAAGGGGTTTGTTTGCGGCGTTGTTTGTTAAGACTCCGTCCTTGGAGGGAGGTAGAGGGAGGTGAGTAAGGAGTTTCTAATCCTCTAGGAAAATTTTGTAAAAAATTAGTCGGCGAATTTGGACCGTGAAGTTGGAAAACTTGGACCTTTAGTTAGCAGTCGGCAAATTTCAGCCGACAACAATCATTCCCCCTCCCCCTTTTTTTTTTTAAATCGCTTCGGTTTGTACATACTCGTGATTCAGGTTGAGAGAGAGTTGAATGCAAAAGTAATTTGTACTCAACCCTCTCTCCTCTGTTGTTTTACAAAAAATGTAAAACAACAGATTTTATTTTTTATTTTTTAAAAAAAGTTTTTAACTTTACTTTAGACGTGCGGATTTGCTCTTTAGTTAAAACAAAATAATAGATAAAATTTTTTGAGCAGGCTGCATATACTTTTGTACAAACTATTGCTAAGAAAAATCCAAAATCAAATAATGGTGCCAAAAATATTCAGCATAAACTGGAACTACTCAGCAAACATGTCAATGTGGAACCAATTATAAACTATGATTGATCGTACACAAAGTATACGCTGTATATCGTTTAAGGTGTAAAGTAATTTAGTCAAAAAAAAAAAAACTTTAATTCAATGTTCAAAGAGTCACTTTTGCGTACACTTTTGACAAGACGGGCAAAGCCTAAGCGTTTTTAACGGTACTTAAACAATGGTAAAACATCACTATGCAAAAAGTCCTTAATAAATCCTACGCGTGAATATCTCATTGTAAGCTTTACCCACGTCATAAGAAATGTATAACTTTCTACCAGGTTAGTTTTTTGTTTTTTTTATTAAAATAGTGTCTAACCAAAATTAAATCCTCAGTTAATGTATGTATACTTCACTGTGGCTATTCCAATTTAAGTCATTTGATTCGTGTAGACTCTGCTGCGCCTACGGTTATATCAGTAAAAATACAGCAGTAGTTAAATGGTATAGTCAGTAATATCATCGATGAAAATTTTTTACTAATGATTTAATTATTAAATAAAAATTAATTATAATATAATAATTAAAAAACAACAATAATAGTTAATACGAATAAAACATATATACTGAAAAATAACACATGAAAAATTAAATGAATAAAATATTCTGTACCACAATATGAACCCAGAACTCCGTAATCGTGTAACTAGTGGCATACACGACACTACCATCCTATTTATACTGTCGGTAAATCATGTTTTATTGTAAAAGCGTATTAAATGGTTTCTTTAAAAAGCTAAGACAAAAGTCTTTTATCCTCAGTGTGAACGGGTTTATACATGCCCGTACTATGGGTAGGATAGAGGATTGTCGGGTGCAATTGACACCTTTTTTTATAAATTCTCTTTGTTTCACGCAAGTTTTATAGTAAAAATTGAGCAAAAATTTTATTGGCTATTCTATACAGCCAAAAAGAACCCTTTAAAAGTTTTCATGGTACGGGCCTGTTATACACTAACTTGGGATGACGTAAATGTGAATGATTTGTAGTTATGGTATTTATAATACTTAAGTGGTATAAGTATAATAATCTTATGTTGGTCGTGGCTACAACTTAACTGTTAAAAATACAATAGCCATTTAAGTCTTTTTTTTCTTTTTAAATTTTAGTTATTATGGTGCTCTAACAAAATGACACTGCTATCCAAGCCACACTTGTATGCGCAAAACCAATTAAAGATAATAACTTGTCCCATAGAAAAGTTTTAACCAGTGCCGCAGGGCTTGATTTACCAAGGTGGGGGGGGGGGGGTGTTCTCTATTTTAAATATATAACTACTAACTCTTATTTTATTTGTTTTAAAGATTTATTATAATAATAATAATAATAATAATAATAATATATATATATATATATATATATATATATATATATATATATATATATATATATATATATATATATATATATATATATATATATATATATATATATATATATATATATATATATATATATATATATATATATATATATATATTACAACGAGTATTATATAAACAATGATAACGCACTACATAATCTTTCTTACTAACTCACGATTTCTAAAGCGTTCCACATAAAATTTTTAGATTTCTTAAATGTCTCTCATTTATTTAGCGACTAAAACTTATTGTTATTCTAATTTTTAGCTCAATAAAAAACTTCTATTCACCAACAACGGCAAATGACGTTTAGTTTAAAGAATCGAAAATAGAACGAAATCTTTTGATTAGAAAAAAATATATATCTTCAAAACAATCTTTTATTAAAATGCGATTTAAATTAAAAATAATATTTTTTAATTTAAATCGCAGGGCCAACAACATGAGTTTCAAAGTGGAGGGGCACAATCGTCAATTTCTCAAAAAAGTCTTAAAAAAAAGTCCTTTGAAAAAACAAAGGGAGGGGGGGAAGGAAATACCCCTATGCCCTTCAGTGTCGTCGGCTCTGAATCGTGTATTTTTATAAATTACTTCAACATAATTAAATTTTCATTCTCGAAAAAAAAAATAACGAGCTAATAAAATATAATAAGCTTTGAAAAGTACTTTTTTTAGTTACGTAAGGGATGGTCCATAAATTACGTAACGCAAAATTAAACTTATAGACAAAAGACAAAGGATTAAAAGTTTTCCATCGCAGAGTTTTTGATTAAACCATGTATATAAACGATCTTTCAAGTCCAGCGAAAACCGCCGCGCAAAAGAGCAAAACGATCTCCAACTTAATTATTTTTTTATATAAACTTATAAGTTTTGCGCTGCGTAATTTATGGACGATCCTTAAGCTAAAACCTCGTAAAAACACTGCGCCGCCGATAGATATTCAGTCGACAAATGTACGCTCCACTACCCTAGCTTACTTTTAAGTTTAAAAATCAAATACAAAAAAATCTTACATTTTTTTAATTTTTATTAAATTAAAGATTTTTCTTTTTTTTTTTTATTAAACGTCCGAATAGAATATAATTAAATATAGTCAATTCGCACGTAAAAAACGTGCGAATAGACACTCCGTATAAAGTACAGTGATTCTTATCTTTTTGACATACAAAATACAGTGGTTCTTATCTTATTGAATAAAATTTAATCTATAACATAATCTAAAATGTTGTTTTTATTGTTATTATAGTTTAATTAAATCTTTACATAAATTTTAGTTTCATATCAAAGTGAAAACAAAAACTAAACAGATAGTATGTCTATTGCATAAAATGTTTATAATTAAGAATTGTTTTAATGTATATAGACATGGTATAACGCATAAAACATTTTAAAGATCCATTTTCTGCAAAGTTTCTATACAACGATTTCAAATTATTGAAAGTTTTCTTCGTGATTTGGCTTCACCGTCACAATATAAACACTAGCATTTTCCTCCGTTTCCTGACTAAACTGCTAAACATAATAGGGTACCGTTTTGGCGTTTGTTTGTCCGAATATCAATCCCACAACCACTAGCGTTTTTAAGAAATTCTTTTGTTTCTGTGCAATGTTTGTCTGCATTTCGATTCCAGAAAGCAAAAGTCTATTTTTAGAACCGCAACGGTACCCTATTGCCTGCAATTATGCTTAGCAACTTACAAATTTTTAAGTAATCAATATTTAAATTACAAATTTTTAAGTAATCAAATTTTCAACCTAAACGTACAACATTTGATTAGTGGGTATCGAAATATAAGCATTTTAATGGGATTTATTTTTCTTTGCTTTCAGATTAGAGCACTAAAATAAAAATTAAGCTAAATCAGCATAAAATATTTATAAATTAATAAAAATTGATACAAATTCACAACAATTTAAATCATATAAAATTACATCGCACACTTGGCGATTGCATCTTGAACAGTTTCTATCAAATTTTTATTTCTATCTATAATGCTTTCAACAGCCGCGACTGTTGAAAGATAATAATATGCAAATATATAGTCTTGCATATTAATTGATGCGGCTAGTCACACCACGTAGTATGCAAGACTATATATTTGCACT